TGAGGGGATAAGGATTTTAAGTGCTATTAAACTCTCAATTAAATTACTATTTCATAAAATGTGTTATAAAGCAAGTACATTTCTAGACTTGTAAATCTATGTTTGTATAATACTTAAATCTAATTTTCAAATCTGTAATTATGTCTAATTTTCTCAATTAACTTAAGTTTGAATATACACTACTTTTTCAGTGTAAGAATCTATTGATTGTTTATCATTAATTATTTAATTATCTAAATCATAACATTTTAACTCTTGATTTACTGTATATTAATTGAAAAATAATTTATTATTAATAATAGAAATAAAAGTTTAAAAACAGTTTTATAATTAAGAATAAAAATATTGTATAAATACCAAATACAAAACTATTACCCCACAAAAAACTTTTTGTATTTTTATTTTCAAACTCAAACAATAATACAATTATTCATGCAATAAATGTTCATTTCAATGTTATATTGCACTTACAAGGAAAGGCATATAAAAAACAACCCATTCCTTAGGTGTCAATGAATTCTATGTGACATTGAATCCAAGGCCAGAATCTCTATTGATTTTTACAATACTTTTACTGAAAGTTTGTGTAATTCCTGTGCCTTTCTATTGGTGTTGACGTCAAATGGACAGTCATTTCAAATATACTGTAAAACCATATAAACAACAGAATCTTTACAAACGGATTCATTTGAATTCTGTGTTTATATTCTGTGTTTGTTTAAGTCATTGAATTTATTAGAAAATGTTATTAAATATTGTAAACTGTTTCCAATTCCTATACAAAGACCTATGTACAACAATATTAAGCATGTTACTAGGCTATGCAGTCTATTATTTTGTTAAATTTTACCTGAAAATCAAAAGCCTACCGCCCGGTCCCATACCTCTGCCCATTGTGGGCAACCTATTGCGTAAGTACAGGCCTAGTTAATTTTATAATTTGAAAATTATTTATTAAAATTATTTTATTGACAGTATTTCGGGGCACAAAAGTTCAACATAGTCTACAAATCATAGAAATGAGCAAAAAGTACGGACCGGTGTTCACCCTATGGATGGGTCCCAACCCTTTCGTCTTTGTACTGGACTTGGATTTGGCTAAAGAGTCCTTTAATCGCAATGAGTTGTCCGGTAGGCCTGACTCCATGTTTGGTAAGAAAACACTTTTAAAAATTATATTTCATTTACTAATTCATAAAATGTATTAAATTTTAGGCAAATTAGTGTCTAATGATAAATACACTGATATTTTATTTGCCGATTTTGGGCCTAAATGGCAGGCCTTACGACGTGTGGCACACCTGGCGGTCAGGTATTTGACACATGTTTTCCGATTTCTATTTACTTTTCAAACACAATATTAAACATAATTAGGAAATACTCGACAACCGATCAATTGGCGTATTTGGTCAGTGATGTGGTCGACCAGACTGTCCAACTCATTATAGACAAGGAGGACATTGAGCACGGCTTTCAACCCTTTGACTACATATACC